TTATATGCTTTATACAAAGGAGGTCTCCAGGCTTATCAGTCAAATCTGGCCCACATGAGCCTATTCCATATAAAGAGGAAGAGCAACAACAGTGATATGGAAGGAATGGGCTCATGATAACACTGGATCTTACTGCAGGTTGTTTAATAAGATTCCTTCGGAGGCTTTTTCAGTTTGTCAAGTTCCCTTTAAATCCAGCCCTTGTCCAGGGAGGAACAGACACCTTGATCTGTCGTTCCAGTCAGAGTTTGGGGCTTGGGGAGGGCTTCCTTGGCCCTTTCTTCTTGTTTTCTGGGAGTAGGAGTTAGAATAACTGTGGAGAGTCATGTTCACAGCATGACATACAGTAAATAAATGTATGACTGGGTGTTCTCATTCACTTAACCCTACAAGCTGAGTGATTTTGAGGTGCTTTTTCTATTTAAAACAACAACAGAACGTTCCATCTCATAGAAATGGAAATAAATGTGAGAATCTGTAGATAAATAAATTATCCCTCATCCTTCAGTCAACTGCCTTCTTTCTTCCTTTCTTTCAGAGACATTATCATCCAACAGTGCAGAAGTTTGCAGCACACCTTATTGCTGGAGCTCCAACTGAAGGCTCAGGAGCTCTGTCACTTGATTTCAGCCAAAGGTGAGTTATCAAAGAGATTGGTTTTTTTAAAATAGTGTTTTGAAAGGAAGCTGTTGCTTATGCTTTATTAAAGGAATTCCTAAAAATAACTATCCGTAAAATTAGAAGATTCTGATCTTCAAACTCTCTTTGTTCTTCTGCCAGTACAGAATGTTGGCTGCCCTTTTTTTTTTTTTCTTTTGATACTTGTTGCCAGGCTGTGACAAGGGTAAAAATCTCAAAGTGCAGTGTGTTTTCTTCCCATGGGAGCAAAATTTCTGCATTTCCTCAGCAGCAGCCCTGATCTGAATATGGATCAGGATCACTGGATTGTGGTTGTCCAGCAGAAACTGGAAACCAAGTTGCAGCGTAAGGTCCATAGTATGTTAAAATATGAGAGCAGCCATGCTGGTTCAGACTGAGGGTCTAATTTAGCATCCTGTCTTTGGCAGTGGCTGGAAGCAGGTGCCTTGTGAAAAGTAAAAACAGGGCATACATATAAGGCATGCTCTGAGGTTAGCTCAGTTGGTTAGAGCATGGTGCTAATAACACCAGGGTTGTGGGTTCAGTCCCTCTATGGGCCATTCACTTAAGAGTTGGACTCGATGATCCTTGTGGTCCCTTTTAGCTCAGAATAGTCTGTGATTCTGGGACATGCTCTGAGCAGTGTCTTGGCCTCTGACTGGTCTCAGCCTGGTGGATTTCTTGAACCTAATGTCATTTTCTGTTAGTACTTCTCTCTTCATAGCATTCTTTTTAAAGCTGTTCAGTGTCCCTTGAACCAAAGCACACATTTTGCAAATGCAGCATTGTTTGGTAAGGGTTCCATGAGTCCACAGCTCCTTAGGTTAAGACCTGCTGTCTTTTGTTTTGAACCTGGTGCCAGTATGCTTCATTTAACAGCCCTTGGTTCTTGCTCTGGGAGATGAAATGAACAATCTGCTCTACACTCTTTCCATGTCTCACAGAACTTGGTAGGCCCTCTATCATATCATCCCTCTATGTACTGTCCCTTCTGGCTCAAGGGATCTAACTCAGACAGGAGCTGTTCCATACTTTTCCTCATCTTTTTTGCATATTCCTGTACTTTTACCAACTTAAGCATTTCAAGATGAGGAAATTGGAGACTCAGTTGCAATATTTGAGATGTGGATGATCTGTGGGTTTAAACACTGATGTAACTAATTTCTGTTGTGTTCTCTGTTTCTTTTCAACTCCAAACAGCATTAAGGTCACAACCCTATAAAAGTATCTGTCATAACAACAAGATTTTTTTCCTTAAGTGATAGTGGTCAGCTCAGAGCTTATTGTGTTTATGTAAAGCTGAGATTGATTTCTTTTTCCAGCACTAAATTTCATTTGACATTTTACTGATATCTCATACGAACTATCCGAAATTCTTCACATGGAGCTCATTTTTACTACCACAAATAACTTGGTAATCTCCAGCTCATCTTTGAGCATGTTGGAAAGCACAGATCCTGGAACAGACCTTGTGGAAATCCATAGTTTTTCCTGCCATTGCAAACACTGGCCAGAAACTGTGCTCAGTTTCCTGTCTTTTAACCAGTTCTTTTCTCATATGATGGTCTTCCCTGTTCTTCCATGGATGCTTAGTTTTCGTAAAACTCTTTAGGTAAGGAACTGTTGGAAATTCTAGCAGATTGTGTCATCTAGATAATCTTTATCCACCTTTTACTTTCCTTTATTAAATATGTACAGATTAAGCAGTGAGTGCTTGGAGCTCTGGCAAGCCAACAGAACAGTTTTCTTGTCTCCCACAATTGAGTATTTTAGACACATTTTACTTACTTGACTTGCATTGTTTGCCTGCTGTTGGCTTCTGATATTTTCCAGGTGATGCTCATTACTCTGAGTTCTCTTAAAAGTGTGATGGAGGATGAGAGTGGTGTGTGTGAGAAGCTGCCCTTAAATTGTTGATATATCAGTTGAAGATGTATCTATCTAATGCCATTTTTCTTTCATTGTGCATTTTGCTGTAGGTCTGCTACAGAACTTTTTGAGGCATACTGCATGAAAGGAATGACCTTTAATCCTCCTGTTGCATCAGTAACACCCAGAAGAAAGGTACCATCTTGTCTCTGTGTCCTTTTTTAACCACATGAGGTACCAAAGTAACCTGTATCTGCTGGCTTACTGTGCAGTGCCCAGGCATTGGCACACTCAGTTTGGCTTTCTGGTTTCTATACTTTGCATGTCAAGTATTTCTTTTAACTGCTGTAAGATAGGACTGACTATAAAGAAGGAAAAGTAGCTGTATAAATAGTTCCACCTCCCACAGCTTCAGTTCATGTAGCAAGATGAATATGGTAGCTGTTATTTTGCACTTTGCTGTGGTTCAGTGCAGATTTCTTGGCCCTTTTCTGTAATGATGAACTAATGTTTGTTCAAAAAGCAGTAAAAAAACCCCAGCTCTTTCCCCAGTGTGGGTAGTTGGCAGGACAGCTGGATTTCCAGAGCCTTTGATTCAGTATGTAGAGGGATACTGATCCCTATTAGCCTCACTGTAGCTTTAAAGTGTAAATTTGAGGGGAACAAAGAGTTAATGTATAAGGATGAGAAACAGGGAACAGTTTTTATGTCCTCAGCACTGTTCCAGAGGCAAGCCTCCTTTAAATGTCCAGTGAGAGGTGTCCTTTTAAAAAGTGATGATTTTATTTCTTCCTATGAAAACCTTTAACATTGTCAGTGCTCCACTTTGTAACTCAGTAATGTCAGTTGAAGCCTTGAGAGCACAATTTTTTTTCCATTTTAGAGAAGCAACTCTTGAAAATGTGTTTGTACTTACTTATTCCATCGTTTTGCAATGACTTCTTGACATGTCTGTCCTGCTAGGGACTTATATTAGCACCTCTGACAAAGCAAGGCTGGGAGCAGCAGATAGGCAAGAGATTTGAGTTGTAGTGCTTGGATAAGGAAAAGCACAAGCTTTTTAAGGTAGCAGAAACAAAAGAAGAGGAAAATAAGAGAGAACAAACTGTCCATAGGTGGTTATAGTGGACATAACTGGGCAAATTACCCTGGGGCTTTGCCTGCTATCTGGTTGTTGGGCTCATTTAACAAACTTTGGCAGTATCTAAGTTTTATCCTCTCTGTCCTGCATATTCTCCGTGTGCCACGCTGCCTTTGTCAGCACCTCCCTGGTGTTGATAGAAGCTCCAGTGGGAGCCCCATGCACTACTAAAGAGAGGATCTCATTTGTCCTTGAGTGCACAATGTACTTGACTGTGTGAGTGCTTAGACTTTAACAGGGGAGCTTAAATCATATGTGTGATCATAATTCCTCATCTGAGCACCAGGAAAGAGTGGAAGGCTCCAGCTCTGGCTGGAGGCAGAAGGGTCAGGGCATGCCTTTCTCACTCACAGCCTCTACTGTGAGCATCATTGCTCTCACTGGCCTTTTAATCAGAGATGCTTGATTTATATATATGTGCTTGATTTCTGTTTCTGAGGTGTGTTGAACAGGAAGCAGTGTGTAAGCACCTCCAGAACTGGAAGCTGTGGCTGTGTGTAGTAGGTAATATTCCAAAGTCCAGTTTAGCACAAAACAAAAAACTTCCACCAAAACCATGAGCTTATGAAGGACTAACACATCACTTGCAAGCCAAGGGGAATTTACAGGCAGGCCAGGCAGGTGTGAGCTGCCAGTTCCATAGGTCTAGTCTGGATGACTGGGGACATGGGAGAGTAACAGGACTGCTAATTTAAGCTATGCATGGAAAACACAGACTGGCTTTGTTTAGTAATGCAACTAATATTTTGTAATTTTCAGGATACATTCTCACAAATGGATTCATTTGTAGATGAAGAGCTAAACAAGCAGCTTCAACAACACATCAGTGAGACTGTTGTTCACAAATCCTTGGATTTTGCTAAACACCTGAAGGAAACATCTTTGTCATAAATGTACCTATTACTCAACTTCAGTTGGCTTCTTAATTATGGAGAAAGATTGACTGAAACTAATTTCCACTCATCATTAAAGGAATACAAGTAGGCTTTTTTTTTGAATATAGAAACACACAAAAATGTAACAGCAGTTTTCCACAGAGAGTTACAAACCTGTCCACTTAACTACGGAGCCCGTGTTTGCGGGGCTGGGGAACCACAGTGAACAGTCACATCAGTAATTTAAAAAGATACAAAACAAAGCTACTTAAAAATTGTTTGCAACCCTGCATGATTGTATTTTTGTTTATATATTTTCTAATTTTTATAACAGAATATAGACATATGTATTTCCAAGAACTCACTGGTTCTGTTCATAAATTAATAAATATTTTGAAACTGTTAACAATATTGACTTCTTTGTCTAAACTACTTAGAGATTTGGAATATGTATTTTTTTCTGTTGCATTTTTTCTTTTTTTCTTCTGATGTCTTCTAACCATTTATCTCATCTTGAAATGATTTTGCATTTGGTGGAGGTTTTCCCTCTGGTGAACCTTGGTATTGGCAAATTGAGAATATTGGATTTCAGTTCTAAACTGGCATCATGACTGAATGCTCTACTGCAGTGTCTTCAATAAACCATTGCTGTCAAGAATGATGGACAAATACAGGGTAAGAATGTAAATATTTATCTTTTTATCTTGGAAGTAATTTTCTCCTGGTTCCCCAAATATAAGTTATTGCCTGGTTGTTTTAGAATCCATTTTCAGCTGCATGTTGGCTTTGCAAACAGTAAGTGAAATATATTAATTAATTAAAAGATGATATTGTCTTTATGTGAATTCCATTCTACAGGGGAGCGTGGTGGGCTGTCCCTGGCTGACAGCTCAGCTAATGTATTTTTGTAGTGTTGAGTCTATGATGTGATAATGATATATGTCTAAGTTTTTCAAAGCTTTCATTCAAGTCAGAAAATAGCTTTTTCTCTAGGGTATTTAGTTCTTTTTCCTGATCTTTAGTTCTTAGATAGTTTTAAAAGTAAATTTCCTTTTTTCTTTTAATACATGTGTTTAGTATTAATCACACTGATTCACCAACTTTCAAATAGTTAAACATAAATTCACAGACATTTTTAGAATAGACATCTATATATTAATGGATTAGAAAATTCCTGTTTTACTATGTAAATTACAAAACTGCATACATAAGCCTAGCCATGAATACTGATATTTATACATGTGTTTCTCTTTGTTTCAAAGTTGTGATTCTCATAGCTTTTGAACAGTTTTTTTTAGTGTGAAGTGTTCACAAATAGGGATGTGATTTAATTTCTGAAAAATTCCAAGGGGGCCATTTGCCAATACTTTGGTCAGTTCGGGAAGGCAAAAGCAAAGAGTGAACATCTTAAACCATTTATTTTTTTTTACAACATATACAAATACAGGTTTATTATTCAAGTCAGCAGAGAGAAAATAGTCCAGGTGGAAAATTTTGAAATTGTTCATTTTTCATAGTTTCCAAACATATAGAGACTGGCACATAGTGATGTTGCATTGTCAGAATACTCTGACATGCTTTAGGAGGCAGAGAAAGACAACTGTACAACTAAGTCATTCTGAAAGAGCCTATACATCTATTGGAGCAAAAATCTTATTTACTGCTGTTTATTTTTGTGTTTAATTTGCTAACTCTGCCAGATGTCTATTACTATTTAAGTTGCAAAACATTTATCACAGACAGGAAAAAAATGCCACCATTGGTACATTTAGTGGGCTACCCTAAAAGTAAACTGAGTTTTATAGTGAAATAATAACTGACAGTGATTAAAAACCAAATGCTAATTGAAGCATTCAAAGAGCTAGAGCAGAACAGAGCAGACAGTTCAGTTTCAGAAGCTGGAGACTCAGCCTTTCACTGAAATGTAAAGTTACTAGCAAGGTCTTCTTTTTTGAAAATAAACTATGAATGTAAGAGAAAGTGTTCCTGAAATATTTAGATATTTCCATGTTGAAGTCTTTAAATCTCCAAAGCATGTGCTTTCTAGAAGCAGACAGCTTTCTAAAAGGTGGGACACTTCACCTAGCATTCACCTAATATTTGTAGCAAGAAAAATAATGTGACTAGGTTTAAAAAAAATAAAACTGAGATAGTACTTTTTAGTCTTCTGCTATAGTTTGGGATCAGTAAGATAGAAACAAGAAACCCTTCAGGTGGTAGAGGAAGTAGCTCCTGGTGTGCCCCAGTTCCTGCAGACGGAGCAGTGCTGATGCAGGCAGGAGCTGTGCCTGACTGTCTTTCATCCCATACCATAACACCACTGCAAGCACCACGTGCTGCACAGGGAGAAGTTAAGAACTTGGTAGAAAAGTAGCAGTTTTTTAAATAGTACAGAATAAAATGCTTCTGTATTTTTGCCATTAGGCAATGGAGCATGAGATTCCCACCTGTAAACTGTTCAGTGTAAGGCCTGCTACTGCTCAGAGACAGCATGTTTCTGGAAGGTGTTGATTATTTACATTCCTTTCTTTCAAACTTTATCCTGGAAGCTGCTTCCTGTAAATAGTTTGTAATGTAAAAATGAATGTATTTTCCTAATTGATGTCCATGTCCAGCCAGAAACACAGAAAAGGACAAAGTTATTTTGTCAGTCTTGTCACAGGGGGGTGTGGACAAATATTTCTGCAGAAATAAAATCCATGGCTAAGCAGAATAAATTTCCTATTAGCATAATAACTCAGCACATGGAAGCTCCTTAACTGAGCTTTCAAAAAAGTTAACCATCCCCCCTGTTTAATGCTTCAGGTGGTGGTGTATTTTCACTATTAGGAAACTTGGACCCAGCAAAAGGAAAGGTATTGTAATTCATTTCCAAATTCACCCCAAAGTGTACCATGTTTCACTAATAAAAGTTTACTTGGCTATTTACCAATACCTAAACTTGAAATTAAGTGATATATGAACATTAATGAAAATACTAGAACAGGGTAATTAGCCTTACATAATTCCAGATGTCTACATGCCTACAAATATGGGTTTTGAAATAAAAAGCCAAATACTTTGCTCTCCTCTTTCACTGTAATAAACAGCAGCAAAAACAGCTTTTGGTGAGACTAATGAGGAAGATATTCATATTAATAAGCTGTTCCCACAGCTAGAAAAATTACTGTATTAGTAGAAATAGTAAAAATATGCTGATTTTAAATTGCCACCAGATTTCAGGCTAGTTTTAGACCTGTGTTAATGTGACATGGCTGCTGTTGTCCTTTGATTCCTCAAGGTTTGTATGTTGAATCTAATTAATTAGCCAGTGTGTGATACTTAGGTGATGGTAAGAATTTTCAGTGCTGCTAAAGATTAAAAAAACCCAACAAATCACCACAAAAAAAATAGCCAGACAGGTAAGGGCAAACTACAGGAACCTTAAGTATTGTTTCTAAAATGCCACAATCAACATCAAAAAGAAAAAATTCTTAGTGATGTGAATCTGCTACTGTGTTAAAATAACAGAGAATGAAGCTAACATTTAAAAAACAGTTGCATTAGTTGAATTGCACAGCAGGTTGATATAAGTATTTCCTAGTAATTCCAAAGAATTCCAAAGCAAACTGCATATAAAACTATGTGTAAGTTGACACTTCTAACAATTTACTCGGGATCAGTCTTGTCTTACGCATGTGCAGGGTTCAAGTTGGTACTAATGAGTGAAGAGGCTGAGCTTGGAGGTGGTTGGGGGTGCTATATCAGTTCAAAAGTTTACTTTTGTAAAAGACAAGCAGTGGGAAGCGCATGGCCTCTGTGAGGATATGCCACCAGGAAATCTGACTTTTTTTGTACGGCTGTAGTTATTTTTCCTGAAAGCTGGAAATGACCTCAAGAGGGCACTTTTTTGCTTTGGTAATAGCTATTTTACAGGCATTTTCTGTAGTGTATAGTGAAAGACTTCATCGTTTCTGGTGACAGAATGCAGGTTCTGTCTGCTTGTTTATATGACAGTTAATGACTCTTCTTTCTTCTATTTCAATTTCTAATTAATAGAGGGGCATCAGTTGTCATGACACTACTGCCTGTTACTTCTTTCTCTTGTTTAGGGATTGCTCTAGTGAGACAAAAACGTGTGCAGAGCAATTTGTTCACCACAGGCACATTTCTTGTGGGAGATCAAAGGGATCGCTGATTCCAGCAGTTGTTTAATTTGTGCCCCTGTAACTCGGTATGGATTGTTTTAAGTAACTAAACACATTAGTAACTCCCATGGAAATAAAAAAAAAAGACTAGCACAACTAATTTACTTACATATCAAAAGATGAATTCAGCAAACGTAAAACTTCACAACAGTGTTTCTATGTAAACAAAAATGTCAAGAGTTATAGGGTAAAAGTTCTTTATACTCTCTGTAACAGACAAGTAAAAAGACATTTCTGACTGTATGGAAAAATGTATTTGAATTCAAAATTTTGAAATGTTAATTACATTTATCAATGCATTGTTTTGAATTTGGTCAGTTTGGAGTATTAAACATCTTGTGCTGAAAAGAAACAACCATAGAAGTTCAAACATATTTTCCTCTAAATCCAGAGAGAGGTAAAAATCTGCATTTTCTAAAAAGTAGTATATGATAAATATATTATACAATGGCATGTACTTTGGAACATGATAATAAATATTCTTTCTTTAAACACAAGCCTAGAAAACAAGAATTTATAAGAAGAAGTCAAAGTCTCACTACCAGTTAGGTGTATTTAGCTATTGTACATTATTTTGTTAAAGAAGATAAACCATAAATAATTTTGAGTGTTTTGTGTATATTCACCAAAGTTAAACAGATATGCAAAGGAAGTTTCAGTATATTTAAATCTCTTTACAATCAGTTAACACAGTGTTTAACAGAAATCTTCAGGTAAAAGTGCGTTATTTTAAAATAATACACATAAGAGAACACTCTGGTTCTCTGCCTTCAGTTTCCTTAGAGGCAACAAGCTAAAATTATCTTTTGTTTAAAAAGGAGAGGGTGATGACACATGTTTGTTTACAACATACAGTCCAAGAAAACTTCTCCATCCGCCTATGGAGGATCTGCAGATGTGAAGATACGGGAAGAGCAGAATCTTCCGATAACTGACAGGCATCTTTCCAATCTACAGTATCCCATTTAGGATTCCCAGATTCTGGATGTTAATCCAGCAGAATTGCCTGGATCAGGCATCTGTAGCACAGGGCACACAATTGTTGACCAGTTCAGTCCACAGCAGGATCCTTCAAAGGCACTGCAGAAGGATTCAGTAATGTAAATTCCAGTTTTAAAAGAGCAAGAAAGAACAAATGCGGAATAGGGAACCTGACTGGGCTCTTTCCATAATTTACTTTGCTTTCCTTAAATTCAGATATAGTAGCCAAGAAATAAGATATCAAATTTATCCCTTTGTATTTTAAATACCTTGCAAATGAAAACATTACTTGAATTCTGTTAATTTAATGACTTAGCGGTAGTATGACAGTGCATGCCAAATAATGCTTTAATAATTAGGTGTATGCAGAAAGAAAAAGGTAATATTAAATTGGCCATAAGTGAGATGGGATTATCAACACTGAAAAAGATTTCTTCATTTGCAAGGAGCTGTAACTTCCCAGTTGCTGTGTCAGTGCTGTAGTAGCACTGTGCAAATGTCTGGTTAGTGTACATTGCTGGACAAGTTGCACTTAGTATCTCCATATAAACGAGACAGTCTTATGTTGTGTATTTCAGTTGTTTGAAGTCAAGCAAGATGGAAGAAATTGAAGAGATACAGAAATGATAGTATAAATGTTTAAACATTTCTGGCAAAATTCCCACTGAGAGAAATTAACACCATCAACTTGTTTTAGCTAAAAAGGAGATGGCCAGTCCTGATGATTTTATTATCTGCATGTAACAAAAAATAATAAAAGCTCTACTGGCCACTTCCATTTACTTTGGCCCAGAGGAAAAGAGTAACAGTACATCATTAATTAAGCACCATTACTCATTAAAATGAATACCATAAAATCAACCAGGATGCAACATTTTGGTTTGGTTTTGTGGGTGAAACTCCAGTCTGATTCACTGGAGCAAATGCCATAATTAAGGACTGGAGACCTTACTGCTGTCACTGTGCCTGTGCACACCAATGGGTAAGGCTTTCATGGATCTTTCTGTCAGTCCCTTGTACCTCACCCTGGTTTGACCAGCTACAACTTTGAAAAAAAAAAAAATCTGTAAATCACATAAATGGTTGCTCAGCGTTGGGATCGGTGTCTCGTACCTGAACAGACCGTGGGCAGTGGGGTGACTACTCTACAATGTCACTGAAGGTCAAGCCGCACGCGGCCCTTTCGTCCTTGCTCTGGGGACTGTCTGACAACACCTGCAGCGGGGGCGACATGAACCCCCGATACTGCTTACTGGACTTGGTTAACTTCTTCAGTTCACTGGTAAAAGAGATGCCTTTTCTTTTGTCATCTCGTGCTGCCTGTAAAAAAAAAAATAAATAAAAAAAATCATAGAAGTGGTTTAACAGCTGCTTGTTAGCTGTGAAATACAGAATTAATATGAAAACACCTAACATATTTCTAAGCAGGCCTTCCTTTTGAAATGCGGTATGTCTGCTTTCACAGGCAAGCACATCCTACTCATTGTTCTGAATAAATTAATTTAAAATTATGCCTTGTCAAAGATATGTTTAGTAGATTTGGTATAAACTTTTATAAAAAGATCTGTGCTTATAATACAGTTACTTTAAAGCAACAGCTGCTGTGGATTGGTGGTGTCTGCAGGCAGGGAGAACACAGCTCCTCCTCCCAGTAGGCGTGTACTTCATTCCTGCCATTTTCTGAAGCCTGAGATAAAGCAACAGAACAACTTTTTCACTGGGCAGGAATAAAGGAGACTTTATTCCAGTAGCTTTTAAGCTCTGCCCATTTGAATGGTCCTTTATTATGACGGAAAACGTGGCATGCACAGCCAGAAGATTTTGAAAAACAGAAAGCTGGTAGCAGATAAAGGTTGTCCTGGATTTGCAGGCTGTGAGTGAGTCGTGTTGCTGGATGTAACTTTGCAGTTTTGCAAAGGAAAAAAGTAAGGGAGGTTCGGAGAAAAGAGGAATCTGCTTTTTGCTGTAGTCTGTCTTCCCCACGTGCCCTCATGCCAGCTGTGTGTCTCTCCCATTGAAAGCAGGTTCCCATTAAGCTGATCACACACTATCTACAACACTTGCTGCAAAGTATCGCATCTTTTACCTGAACCTGTTCTTTGAGCTTCAGGATAAATTTTCCCGCTCCCTTCCATTTGCTTTGGGCCTGAAACACACACTCTTGATCAGAGAGAATCCTCTGAGATGGTTTAGATGTTGAGGACTTTTTGTTTGTTGGCTCTTTTGTCACCTCTTCCAAGAGCACATAATCACTTGGATTTGGATTGCTCAAAATGCTGTAGGAGTATTTTGCTTTGCAAAGAGTCTGTTTAAAAGCAGAGAAAAAATAAGACAAAAAAGAAGGCATTCCCTCAGATTCAGGTTACTAAACCGATTCCTCAGCTAATGCTGAGAACAAACCCCATCTTATCTTGTGTGAAACCAGCCTCCACCCCACAGATTAACATGGAAAGGTGCAGCTCACCTGCTGTATGACATCCTGAGCCGTGCTGAAGCGGGGAGCCTTGATGACGGTGCGTGGTTGCTCTGGGGAGACATCGTGTACCTGAACAAAGAAACTGTCATCCTCGGAGCTGATGGCTGCTTCTTCCTTTGCTTCTTGAAAGACATTTCTCTCGTTTAAATTCTACAGAGAAAATAAATGAGAGCCAGATTAATTTACTTCAGAAAGGTAACTAATAGCTGGTGGTCACAAAAGGTTTTTATCACATGGAAATTGGAGACTGCTGTAGCCCCAGCTCCATTTCGTTAAATGCATTACAGGAGCGTTTTGACAAGCTACTACTGCTAATAAATACCTGTGTTTCTACAATCAGTGTCTGGAGATGTCAGGATAGTCACTTAAATCCTTTCTTTCCTTATGTACACAAAATTATGTTTTGTCATCTAATGGTGGCAGTAAGATGGGACATGGTGGAAAGGGTTCTTTTCTCTCCCGTCCCTGCACTAAAGCCAAAAGTACTAAGAGAGAAGGAAGTCTGAGCAAACATTTTTCTGTGGTGTAGAGCAAGAGGAAGGATGTTTGTTTGTCCCTTTTCAGGCTCTATGACTACTGCAGATTTTCAGGCAGAATTCCTCCCTGCACCTTCTCTCAGAGAATGCATTTCTGTCCAACACCTTGGAACACAGCTTGGATTCATAAGCTGTAAACATGAGCTGTGTTTCACACCCTCCAGTGGACCCACTCCTTGTTTTTCAATCAGATTTGCAGCTTAATTTCTAGTTCCAAGCTCTGAGGTGCTTCTATCTGCAGAAAGGCTCAGAATTGCAGATAATGCTTTGGGGTACTCGCATCACAGGACAAAACTACAGCATAATTTTCACGAGCCAAGACAGATTTTAACTCCCATTTTCTAACAGAATGGGGCTTGGCAGTGACACGTGGTGGTGCACACTGACAAAGTCAGTGCTGCAGTCAACAGAATTTGGTAGGTTACTATTTCCACAAACAAATTTCTACCTTGTAATTTTTTGTAATTTTTTTTGCCAGATGTTAGAAATAAAGGAAAACAAAATGTGGACTTGTATAATTTAATGGTAATTTGTCAAATTGAAGTTTTATCAAAAGTTCTATTAAACTAATCAAAAATATATTTTTTCACTTTAAAGTATCTCAGAGGATCTCTATCATTTGTGTATGTAAAATCTGTGTACTAATAAGCATTTTTGTAGGCCAAACTGACCAAAGAAAGTGTGTCCAGAAATGAGATCATTAGGTGTCTTTCTCCTGCTTTTTTTGTCTCTCACAAGCCTGGGCACTAGCATATTTTCAAGCTGTAGATGCTTTGCTCACAGTTTAAACTGAAGTAATCAGTCCATTTTCCTCCTTTAAATGAAAAGAAATCACCTATTTCATTATTTTAGGTTATCATTAATAATTTAATTATCCTTTGTGATACTTTTAGACTTATTCTATCCTTTTAGACTTATTCTTTAATATTAAAATTATTTCTAATTTTTCTAGACAGATAAGAAGTTGCTGACATCCAAACTGATTGATAATGGTTGTCTGGAGCTCTGTTATCTATGATCCTATGGTATTAACTATTATCTTTCTTTATATTAATTTCCTATCCTGGCATAATGTATGGCATTAAATGAGAACACAACACTGAACTGGTGAGTGAGTGATAATGCTTAAACATCACACAGCTGATAGTAAAGCTGAGTGAGGTCCAGTTAATGTCACACAGGTGCATGAAGTCTAGTTGTCCTTGCTCACTCAAGAGTTATGTTTGTTTTTTAACAATGTACACAGCATTGACATTACTCACCAAGTAGTGAAACAAATACTGCACCCT